ATATATAGGTATATGTAAATAAACATATAAATATATAAGTAAATAACAAAGTGAATTACTTAAAACACAAACATGGGAACACACAAATGATATTGAGACACAATAAGGGAATGAATTAAATCAATGAGATGATGAAATTAATGAACTCACATGTTATTTAAGACATAGTCATACATTCACATTGGTTCTTCTTTTATATAATAAATGGGTAACATGAGTTCATATTCTTGTGAGAATTGCTTTCTGAGATTTCATTAAATAGAAATAATTTACAGGTCCTTTATTCTCCCATTTAAAATATAAAGCGAATTTATGACTGCTGATTTGACAGATGCTATATTGAAATGAAAACACAAATATAAATCAAATAATATTCCACAATATAATAATTTATTTTTTTAAATGTCTGCTTGTTCAATGCATCAAATTGAAAATTATCAGGAAAATACCATAGCAAGATGAAAGCAGAAATTCTAATATTTAAAACTAGATTATTAAAGATGACATAAAAATTTTTATTTCAAAAGAATTAGAGTTGAAAGTAATATGATTCTGAAGAGTAGAATCACTAGTCTCTGGACACATAAAGTCAGATTTCAGGTTTTGTTTTCTTAAATACCTTGTGCAATTTAAAATAGTGTATCTTATCATAATAAATATTATATATGTTGTAAGGATAAAAGAAATGTATATATGGGTATGTATTAATGAAAATGTAGGTAGTTAAAATTTCAGAGCAATGGAAGAAAGTGTGTTTGCTCTTATAGAGAATGAAGAAAATAAGAATGCATACCTGTCTTAGACTATTCATGAGACAGTTAATGCAAAGTCTGAAATTACTTCTGATTTAACCCTTCCACAGATGAAGCAAGAAGAGATCAAGGCAGAAGACAATGTTTCCACAGTAACTCAATTTGTCCTGCTGGGTTTCTCTGACCTTCCCAACATTCAAAGTTTCCTGTCTGGCATGTTCTCTGTCATTTATATGATTATCTTAGTTGGAAATTTTCTTATAATAATAATAACCAAGATGGACCCTATATTACACAAACCCATGTATTTTTTCCTGGCAAATTTTTCTTTTCTGGAAATCTGTTATGTAACAGTCACTGTCCCTAGGATTTTGTTCAGCATTTGGACTCAAGATAGAAACATTTCTACGCTCTTCTGTGCCACTCAGTTGTGCTTCTTCCTTGTTTTTGGAACTACTGAATGTTTGCTCTTGGCTGTGATGTCCTATGACCGCTATGTGGCCATCTGCAACCCTCTGCACTATGCTCTGATCATGAACCCGACAAAGTGCACATGGCTGGCAGTGGGCTCCTGGTTCGGTGGCATCCCAGTCCAAATAGGGCAAACCTGTCAGATATTCTCTCTGCACTTCTGCAATTCTAACCAAATAGACCACTTCTTCTGTGACATACCCCCCATTCTCAAGCTGGCCTGTGGCGACACGTCAGTGCACGAAATGTCCGTGTATGTCGTTGTCATGATGGTAGCTGCTGTACCTTTCATATTGGTGCTTACTTCTTACAGCAGAATCATTGTCACCATCCTGAGGTTGCCAACCGCCAAAGGACGGACTAAAGCCTTCTCCACGTGCTCTTCTCACCTGCTGGTGGTGGTTTTGTTTTATGGATCTGCTACTGTTACATACTTAAGACCCAAATCCACTCATTCTCCAGGTACAGACAAACTGCTCTCTCTGTTCTACACCATTTTGACCCCCCTGTTCAACCCCATGATATACAGTCTTAGGAACAAGGAAGTGATTGGAGCCCTGAGAAAATTAATTCTCTTAAAATAGACCCATGGGTTACCTGAGAACTGTTTCAATTTTTCATCTTGCTTATACCTCAGAAATTTTTGGATACACTACAGTCCTCTTTTGAGAAGAAAATCACTTCATTTTCTGATATGTTTTTCATAATCTTAAATCTTCTATTGAAATTGACTGTTTAATACATGTTAGGCAGTTCATTCATCTTCAGTGACACAAACAAGACTAAGTCTAGTGAATTTTTCACTTTAAAAATATTTATTTATTTTGTATGTATGAGTGTTTTTATTTCATGTGTTAAGTGTATCTCATGTATGTGGTATCTGTAAGGACAGGAGATAGCTTCAGAATTCCTGGAATTTGAGCAAAAGGCATTTTTTTTGCCCCTGTTTTTTCTGGGAACCAAACCTGGATCCTCTGTAAGAGCAAGCAGTTGTCTTAACTTCTGAGCCATCTCTCCAGGGTAAAATCTAATATACCTTAAATAAAATATTATCGATAAATAATTTTGTGTTCAATTTCCAGGAGACTCTTGATTTTCACCTGAAAACTCAGCTACCTATTTTTATTTGGTTCAATTTACTTTTGTCTTCTGGTCTTCAGATAAATATTTTTTCTTTAAATTGAAGTCATTGGGGCTGGAGAGATGGCTCAGCAATTAAGAGCACTGACTACTCTTGCAGAGGACCCCAGTTCAATTCCCAGCACTCACATGGCAGCTATAAACCATGCTGGACTGGAGTTCCAGGGTACTCTGAAGCCCTCTTCTGACCTCTGCATCATTGCATGACACAGGTGCACTCGCATGCAGGCAATACACTGGTACACATAAAGTAAAAATAATAAATAAAATATTTTAAAAATAAAGTGCTGATCACAAGATGAAAAGTCTAATATACCTCCAAAAACTGCTAAACAAAACATTTTAATGTTTCACCATTTCATGTAATTTTTGCTGCAATATAAGTGAAGAATTCAAGATTTTATGGACATAACTTAAAGTTAATAGTTACCTAGATATCCATTCTCATGTTTTATGGGAATTTATTGATTTTGAAGTACACAAGACAGTAGGTAACCCTAGAAACCAGTAGATTCCTGTTGTAATCAATACCAGTAGTAATCAATATATACTAGTAGCAACTAGTATATACCAGTAGGAACCAAAATATACCAGTAGTAACTGAATATATTGTGAATGCTTGCTGATTTAGTCAATACATGAATGAATTATCAGCTAGGATTGCCAGGCCCTGTTAAAGCGTGTGATAAATATACAGACTGAAATCAATAGTAACTATTCAGGTATATTAATTTAAGGGATTCTGTGTCAATGTGGAATGCTAGCAGCACATCTTTTTCTTTCTGTCTTCCTATGAGAACACTCTATAGTGTATCCCTACAGCACAACCAAACTCAATTTTGGGAGCATATTTCTTTATCCTGTTGCTATTGTAACCATAGGTTATTTTGATGTAAATTATTTCATTTTTTTGTTAACTACATCCAAATATCTGCTCCCATGGCTTCTCAGATTTCCCACAAAAAAGTTACTATATACTTTAATGTGACATCAATTTTTTGCATTGTTTTAGGATTTGAAGTCCACACACTTATGCTACATCTGTCTACCTAGACTTCCATGCATTTTTTATTCAGATTTTTATTAGAATGAAAATTAATTTACCATTTCTCTCATGGCAGCTGTTGGAGAAACACTTATTAATGAGAAGAAATGACAAAGAAATCAGACTTAAAAATATTGATTCTATGCTTGCACATTGTGTGTGTGTGTGTGTGTGTGTGTGTGTGTGTGTGTGTGTAAAGCAATGGGAAGTTATTCTCTCCCAGTTCAGGTTCTTGTTAATTACATTGTAAGTACAATACCCCTTGTATTTTTGTTTGTTTGCTTTTATTATGTTTTTAACTCAAGGATGATTAAGATTATTGAATCTTCGAAATGATCTTTTTTGACGAAAGTGAACATGAATCAATAGGACCATAATGTTCCATCTATAGAATACACAACTTTCAAATTAACAATTTACTTTGCAGAAGGGTTTGTAATTTTTGGAAGACCTGTGATCATTGTTCTGGCTCCAGGAAACAGCTCTCAACCCTTAATCATAAAAACAACCCAGGCAAACTCAGTGATTTAAAAGATCACATGAAAATAGGAGACGAATCTTAAGAAGTGTCAGCAGGTCTAGTAGGGGTAAGTCAAATATTGGAAGAGTATATGCTCACACTACACCACAAGTATGTCTAAAATTTTTAGAAAAGTATATGACATTTCAAACACAAGGGCAGTCAATTCATTTCATGAGATTTTTTCATTTGATTAAAAAAATGCCATTTTGGAACTTCTGAAATTATTGCAGTCCATATGTGTACAATTCACTAGTAATTCCCACTCTGTACACAATTATATTTTCCTTCAACAATATATTTGTTTTATTTTCCATTTAGTATGACATATTTCACTTACATATTTTATTCTTTAAAATGTGTCAATGTCTATGACTTTTTAGTGCTTTATATGTTAACAATAATTTGACACTGTGCATCAAAGAGAACGGGAAAATGATTACTGTGAACAAACATGAGCACTGTTGGAAATGCTTGCATTAATGCCTTATTCTCTGAAATTCAGTCAAGCAAGAATAGCCATTTCAGGAGTATAGTGCTGTCCCAAGAGTTCTGATACTTCAATAGTGCTCTCCCAAGAGATCTGATACTTCAATTTTAAACTTTGAGTTAGATTATGCATGTTCTCATAGAGGTCAGTTTCATTTCCTCACACATTTCAAATTTGATATATGTGTTTGTTTATTTTGCAATGGTGTGTGTGTGTGTGTGTGTGTGTGTGTATGTACACACACACTACATGTATAGAAATGGAAATTTAATATTCTGGCTATACAGAACAAATAAACATTCAACTAAAAATTTTACTCAACTTTTCCATTTTCCTGAACTTGTTCAATGATTGAGAATGTAATTTTTATCTTGGTACATCTACTTTACATTGAAGGAAAATGTTTGTTAATTTTGTAAATAGATTATAAAGGAAAATTCAAATAAACATATGCATGTGATCACTCACATATGCACACGTCCGTATACACACACACACACACACACACACACACACACACACACACGCGAACCCAAATTCACAACTCACTCAAATGGTGAAGCTTAAGATCTAAGTTAAAACAGATAAGAGTTTCAAACTATGTTATTCAAGCTATAACTCATTAGAGAAAATATTTTAATTGGGTTTGATCAAAATGAAAATATGATTTTGATAATGCCATTTTTAAATTAATGAAATTCCAAACTGGGAACATATTTGCAAATTATGGGAATGTGTGCACAAATAAAAGTCTTTTCAACTTTATTGAAGGAAGAATAAACTCAAAAAGTGATATTCAAAATATTTGAATACATACTTTCAACAAAGAGGTATACAGATGTCAGATAATCTCTCAAAAATTGCCCAACATCATTAAAAATTAAGATTCTGAATAATCTTAAGTGAAGTAGTGCTCCATATACTTTAGTAGCTATCACTATGAGGAAATAAATCACAAATCATTTTACCCAAGACTGCAGAATGAATATGTAACTTTTAAATTTTGAAAGCTTTAAATGTTATCAATACCATCATTTATTTAATATATAATACTCTAGAATATATTTGTCTATGTATCCACAAAGTCTCTTACTGATTGTCTTAATATTATGTGACATTTATTATCAAATAAATGTAGCATAACTTTTTTGAAATTTCTTAAAGTCTATTCCTAATAGGTTACTAGCGACAAATTGATGTTTGATTCCAAAAAATAAAAATAAAAACATTGTGCCAATTAAATTAAAGCTAGAAAATCTTAGACTAGCGAAGAAAAAGCCATGATAAGAATCCAACAGTTTTAATAACATTTGAGCAAACAAAAAATTTATAGTGAAAATGAATTGTTATCCCTCTGTTTGTTTGCTTGTTTTTTTGAAATGTTTTGAGACAGGGTCTCCCTGTAGCTCCAGCTGTCCCGGAACTCACTTTGTAGACCAGGCTGGCCTCAGACTCATAAAGATCAGCTTGCTTCTGCCTCCCAAGTGTTGGGACTAAAGGCGTGTGCCACCAAGACCAGCCCTTTGTAAAACTGTTTTTTTCTGCATTGTAACACTGAAGAAAGAGGTTTTGTCATATTTAACTGCTTTCCTCACTAACAATCCCTGAGTTTTCCTGTATCTCATCTCTCTTTATTAGTGACCGTAAAGAAGATAAAACCTATTTGGATATAAGCCCTTACTGATGTAACTCTTTAATGATCTATGAACTTGATGAATTATTTATTTTGTTCTTCACCTTGTCTTATGAACAGGTACCTTTGATCTAAATAAAGACTAATTTAAAAGAAGAATAGATTCTGTGCAGAATATGAATGTTTTTTATGTAAAAAAGTCCTTCACTTTTAGATATGAAAGTCTAAATATGGCTAAATAATGGGAAAGAGCTTTGGGAAATGTAATCAGTTTACTGAAAGTATCTAATCATCTGTCACTTTTCTAGGTAATTTCCTTCCCTCTTCCCCATTTTCTATGCTGGTAATTTGGGTCCTGGGAATTGAACCCGGGACTTGTGCAAAAGCAAACTGGGTTTTTAACCCTGCTGACCCACCTCTCCTGCCCTGTATAACTTTAAGTAAATACAAAATTTGTAGTAACCAGGGTAATAAATTTATGAACAAATACATAAGAGATATATGCACTCATTTTTGCATGTTTTCAATACTGATGTAGTTCTTTCTGTGATCTAGTGTACTGCTAGCCACATAATTGAATCAGGTTACTGAGAGATGGCTATCCACCTACATTAGGGGTCATGTAGGACTCAAGCTGATCTTCATTATCCATTAGAAAAATATAAAATAAATTTACAGGAGATGGTATGTTTTACAGCTGATATTACTGTTTGTGTATAAAAACTACACTGAAATGAGTTCTTGACCATTCCTCTGACTTCATGGAGATGTTAACAGTACGATTAAAGATGCTAAATGTTATCATGATGGAAAACATTTATGAAGAATAACTAACTGCTCATGATAATAATTTAAGGCTTACAAACGATACCACATACTGTATAATTTGATGTCTTCTGAAATTATTACTTATCAGCAGCCATTCATAAAAGTAATGAATTATTTAAAAGCCAGCACAGTGTGGTGTTATCAGATTGTGACTAATATAGTGCCGATACACACTTCACCTAAATAAGGAGTTCCTTCTAGGAGGAAACTCACATAGTTGCAAATAAAGGGCAGATTAACCAATTTTTGAGCATCTGTTATCAGGCCTAACACTTTGAACTAAATAAAAGACAATTCAAAGTCCACCGTTCCTTATATTAGGAGATGAAGAAGTCTTGAGTGGACCACATGGGCACAAGGAAGAAAGCCACATGCTGATGATCCCGTAGGTGCTTCAATCTAGAGCTCTGACTTCTCTTTTCAAGATGTCAGAAAAGTAAAATTCCTTCAAAATTAATGCATTACCTATTGACATTATTTTAAAACTTCTTATTTAAGTCACAAGTAATGTGTATGTGCAATATTTTCTGTTTTCAGTGGCCATAATTCTTAATGATCATAAAAAAGACTGAGAGGCTGAAATTGTACAGAAAAAAAATGATATGAACAATGGTATTTCTGTTTTGTATCAAACTTCCTGAGAAGCAGACAGTGTGTTTTGTTCAATTACAAGACTGCATGGGGAATAACTTTGTCCCAGGGTAGAGAAGAGTTAGTACTTAAAGAATGCTATTCATTCTAGCAGTATGAGACATTGGAGAAGTAGTTAGAGGTTGCTTGAAAAATTCAGTGACATTTAAAATATCTTTCTTTTTCTCATTTATAGTACAGCAAATATAGATATTTATGTGTTACTTCTAAGAAGGTAAGCATGAGCAAATTTTGCCCAATACAAGTGTATTTAAAAATATTGGTAAGTTTAGCATTAACAAATTACTACTAATTCCACAGGCAAAAAATAATTCAATAGAATTTTTAATTCAAGTCACTGATGCAGGTAGACCCTCTACCTGTATGTACACAAATATTGTGATAACAAGAAACTAAATGGAAAGTATTTTGATATATATATATATATATGTATTAAAGAGGATTATTACTCTTTCACAAAATAATTTAAATGTCAGCATTAAAAGATTAACATATGTCTAATATGCATTTAATTATTTGACATTTCTAAAGTCTGAGGTGAACAACTCCAAAAAGAACAATTTATATAACTTTTGAGAAATACACAAGGCAGACGTGATTGAAATAGGTTGACATTTAAGGCCACAAATGTTAAGAGATATTCCTTGTTTGGATCATTTTTAATGCATTTGGTCTCTAGATTAAATTAAATTAAAATGAACTTGTGCTGAAATGTGATTACAGTATAAGAGACATAGACTTATTGTGTATCGTAAGCGTGAAATCATATCTTAGTAATATCATTATATGAGAATTTGTCATCATCTTATAAACTTATTTACCCTGTCAGAGCCACTATTTCTCTTTTTTTCTTTTGCTTTTTTTATCTGATACATTAAATTATGGATTACCTTGTGATATTTTAGAACATGTGTTGTTTATTTAATTACAAAATTAGGTAGATTTCTTTGCTCAAATACATATAATTTCTTTAGTGTAAATAGGTAGAAAGTCATTTTTCATTTATATTTTTAACTAATGATGTAATAGTTTTTTTCTATAGGCACTGCGGTGGAAGGTCAGAAAAGAACTAACTATATCAAGAGCTTAGTGTCATTTAAAGAACAGAATTTCAAATTTTCAGTAACTAGAATTTACTTCCTATTAACCAGTCTTGCTTCATCCTTCCCTAAGCCCCAATCTCACTAATCTATATAAACTCTGTCCTCTCACATCAGTAGAATATACTCAGATTTTTAAAAATTCTACTCTATTATTTCCTATCACCCTTTATATTACTATAGTATTGCATTTAATTAGGAAAATTATAAAACTGAATATTGTAATAAATTTTGTCTATAGTCTTGTAGATTAAAATAAAATTTCTTTCAATAAATTTTTGATTGTTGAAGCTTGATCACTACATATATGTATATATGTTTATATATTACTTTTAGCAAAGCAATACATGCATGTCTTTTACATCTAGTTAGTCATTTTATGAGTTCATATTATTATAATACAATATAAATTCAATCTAACTCTTTAGCAAAATAATTGCTATGAAACACAACTTCCTCAAAAGTCAATGGAATAAAATAATTCCATCAAGTTTAAATACTACCTGCCTCCTCTATATGCAAATACACGCACATAAAACAACAAATGATATGTAATGGGTGTAGGTCTTCAAGATAGGTAAGATCTTTTCCTATAATTTGGAAAATATTTAGAAGAAAGTGACACATTGTTTTAAAGTAATTTGGGGGAAATTAAAATATGAGGGTGAAATAATGTTCTATGTGTTGCACATAAAGCATAGATGCACTAAAATATTTGTAATCTAGCTCTAACTATAAGAAAATAGCAAAATGAAATTAGTATGTATTCAAATCACTCATAGATATGTAAATACACATATGTAATGGGAAACACAAATATGTAATGGCAAACACTAAATGGAATAATTTAAGTTATACAAGAAGATAAAATTAATGAGAATATCTGTTATTTAAGACACAGTAACATGTTCACTTTGGTGCTTCTTTTATGTCATAAATGGATAACCTGCAATAATATTCTTGTGAGAATTGTTTTCTCAGGCTGGCTTAAACAGAAACACCTTGCAGGACTTTTATTCTCCACTTTAAAATCTAAAGGGAATACATGAGTGCTTATTTGACAGACATTATGTTGATACAGAAACACAATAAAAAATGAACTAATAATATATAACACTTAATGAATCCTTTTTATTTTTTAATAAAGCAAATACCTAGTTGCTGAGTGCAACATGAAAATACCACAGTAAAACAATAGCAGAAATTCTAATATTAATAACCAAAGTATTAGAAAATGTCATAAAATATTTTTGGAAGAATAAAATAAATTTTGAAGTAATGGAAATAGAAAACAGAATGTGGAGTGGTAAGTAATGTGAAATCTATAGACAGGATCACTAGAGTCTGGGAATGTGATGGCAGATTTGGCATTTTGGTTTTTCAATTGACTTGTACTATTTAAAATAGTGTATCTTACTGTACTAAAAATATACTACATTTCTTGTAAAGAATAAGTATATGTGTATATGGGCATTTGTAATTAGTGGAAATGTATGTAATTAAAATTTGAGCTAGCAGTGTGTTTGTTCTGGAGAGTATGGAAAAATGTATGAGCACCATTCTTGGATTATTCATGAGAGCACAAATGCAAAATCTGAAATTACTTCTGATTTAACACTTCCACAGATGAATCATGAAGAAATCAAGGCAGAAGACAATGTTTCCACAGTAATTCAATTTGTTCTGCTGGGCTTCTCTGATCTTTCTACCCTCCAAGGTTTTCTGTCTGGAGTGTTCTCCATCATTTATATGATTATCCTAATTGGAAATTGCCTCATAATAATGATAACAAAGATAGATCCTGTATTAAAGAAACCTATGTATTTTTTCCTGGCAAATTTTTCTTTTCTGGAAATCTGTTATGTAACAGTCACTGTCCCTAGGATACTGTTCAACATTTGGACTCAGGATAGACACATTTCTATATTGGCCTGTGCGGTCCAAATGTGCTTCTTCCTTATGTTGGGAACTACTGAGTCTTTCCTTCTAGCTGTGATGTCCTACGACCGCTATGTGGCCATTTGTAATCCTCTGCATTATCCCTTGGTCATGAACCCAACAAAGTGTACCCAACTGGCAGCAGTGTCTTGGCTCACTGGCATCCCAATCCAGGTAGGGCAAACCTGCCAGATATTCTCTCTGCACTTCTGCAATTCTAACCAAATAAACCACTTCTTCTGTGACATACCGCCCATTCTCAAGCTGGGCTGTGGGGATACATCAGTGCATGAACTGTCCGTCTATGTGGTTGTTATGATGGTGGCTGCCGTCCCTTTCATACTGGTGCTTACTTCTTACAGCAGAATTATTGTCACCATCCTGAGGTTGCCAACCACCAAAGGACGTACTAAAGCCTTCTCCACATGTTCTTCCCATCTGCTGGTGGTGGTTTTGTTTTATGGATCTGCTACTGTTACATACTTAAGACCCAAATCCACTCATTCTCCAGGTACAGACAAACTCCTCTCTCTGTTCTACACCATTGTAACCCCCATGTTCAATCCCATGATATACAGTCTTAGGAACAAGGAAGTGATTGCAGCACTGAGAAAAATGATTCTTTTAAAATAGAGCCACGAGTTAACTGAGATCTCTTTCATTTTCTTGCCTGATTGCTATCTCCAGCATTTTGGAAAAGATACCTTCCTACTTTGAGCAAATTATTTCTTCAGGTTTTGATGCTCTATTCATAAGTTTAAAGCTTCTGTTGAAAATGACTCTGTTTGATATATAGTAGGTATT